GAGGGCTATGGGTCGCGGTACGCGGGGTAGCTCCCACAGCTCGACACTGCGGCCTGTCGGTGCTGACTTCAGCTCAGTGCTATGATGTGCTTGCTACTAACCTGACTTTGTAATTTTTGGTAATCGTGACATAATGGTGATTCATACAGCGGTGTAAGAGACCTGTAGTTTCTTAGGTGTTGTCTTTGTAAATTTTGGGATTCTTATTAGCTAACCTGGTTTGGTAGAATGAGCCATAATTTAACTTTTTTTTTTCCCTTAGCTGGGATGGAAATTCTTCGATGCAGATGATTATCATTCTCCAGAGAGTAAGAAGAAGATGGCAGAAGGGATTCCACTAAATGATGAGGTACCTGGTATTAACCCTGAAAGAAGAGTTGTCGGCACATTTGTCTTTGCAGCCTCTGGCACATCATGTTGAAGTAGACTGTGCTTTATGTAGACTGACGTGTCTGTAAGCACGGGCTGAATTTACAGGTCTGCAGCTAGTAAGAGAGGGAGGCTTTTTGTATTACAGAGGATTATGCCTAAAAGATAGTTTATCAGAGTGTGCTGGGTAGCTCACAAGTGGCTTGGTGCTGATTCAGGATTTGTCAGAAATCTCTACATCAATGTACAGAATTGCAGCTTTACATTACATGCTGCTTCCTTGGATTAAATACGTGAAGACAGACAAATGTCTCCGCTGAGGTATATTTCATCACTTTCCGTTACTGTGGTGATTACTCCACAGTCCTACTCCTACTTAAAATGTGCTCCATTCCCTTCAGCCTAAACAGATAAAAATTATCAAGTTAAATTTTACAATACTTTGCAATTCAGAGACTTGAGTAAATTAGAAAAGTTACAAGATTACTCCTACTGAACGTTTCCTAGGAAATCTCTAGAAACATAAACCTGAACTAGGGATACCTTCAAAGCAGTCTTTAAATACTGAAAACATATTCTAGATTCTTGTTAAAAACTTTTGCTAGTGGTTGGAAGTTCAAATAAGCTCACATGTCTAAAGCAGCATTGCACAATTGAATGACTGAACCATTTGGCATATGGTGCCCCGCAAGAGGGAAGCATCTCTTCTGAGACATCAGAGATGCAAAACTGTAAGGGCATTCTTGAATGCCAGTAGAAAATTACTCTGTAATGACAATAACAAAAGAAGTTGCATTTATTTGACCACGTTATTAGTTGTTGTGCTCATCCAGCAGTAACAGCACTGAAAGATTAAATGGAAGCAATTGTTTAGTACTCAGTAGGTATGACAGAAGTTTGTGGGAGCTTAAAATTTAAAATAAGATTGTAATGAGGAGCTGATCAATCACTCACATCGTGTTTGCCTAACTACTGACCAAAGGTGTTGCAAAATTGTGGCTATAATTACATTTATTTGTGATTGCTACTGAAATAAAAGTGACATAATTAAGTTATTGCAGATAATTAAATTTAGATCTGTCTGTTCCTGAAAACTTCAGCTTTGATCCAAAGCATTTGGTGTGTGTATGCCAAGGTATACAGAAAAAGAAATAACAATTCAGGCTGTACATTTGAATTGTGTAATAGAAGACGAATAGAGAAGTTGACTGTTCTTCAGAGGTTTACAAGGTGAATGCAACACGTAAATGAATACTACTTCCATCAGATACTTGAAGATATCAGTAATATAAAGTGGGCAGTAATATAAACTATTCCGCTAAAAACATCTTACTGATAATACACCTAGCACTCTCTCACTTCAGGAAGTGGTAGCAAATCTACATTAGGAAGAAGGAGAATCAAACCTGAACTTGCTGTACAGTTTAATGCTAACTTTCAACTCTAGTCAAATGCTCTAGATGTTTCAAATCAATTTCTTAAACAATTTTGAGGTAACTTGTTTTCTTTTTAGGACAGGATTCCCTGGCTTTGTGCACTCCATGATGTACTAAGGAGGTAAGAGAGGCTTTAAGGAGTTTGGGATAAAGACAAAAAATTATTTCCCCCATTGTGTTCCAAAGCAGAAATGTATGTAGTCATGTAAAAATATTCTGCAGGTAGTAAAGCCATTCTGTTTTCACTAATCTGTTTTGACTGATCTAAGTCATAAGTGCTGAGGGTGAGGTAATCCCTGAATAATAGTGTTGGGAAAATTGTTGCCAATGATAGTTGTTTTTCTGCAGTCTGTGCAAAATTAATTTAAAGAATCCAGCTCAGTAATAAACCTGACATCAGCTACTTAAAAAGGATATAACCACAAAACATACCAATAATGACAGTACAATAAAATTTTGTAAAATGTTAGTTTGAGGAAGATAAGGTATCAAGAGCCTAATGCTAGTGTTTAATTATTAGTAGCTGAGGCTGGCATTGGCTTACTTAGTTGATAATAGTAGGTATTACTGATTCTTATTTCCCTATGAACCAAAATCTGAGGAACGTAGGATGACTTTAAGATAGTTTTATTCCTAATTTTAATTTGATTAAAGAATGTATTTTCTCAGGCAGGCATTTCAGTCAATTTTCATAGAGACAGCTAATTATGGGTTTGTTTTTTTGGTGGAACAGACACATCCGCAGTTTTGTGCTTGCTTTATTTTAAGGAACCTTGCCAGTGAAAAATATATGCGGAAGGCATTAATTTACCTGCATCCAATCCCTTGTTTAACTTGAAGTGGACATATATGCAGTGCTGCCAATGAGTATGGTTACAGGAAGTAAAAAATTACATTAACTTTACAGTTAAATTTGAGACAGTGAAAACAGGTGTTGGAACTATACCTGCCTATGTGTTTAATAACAGAGCTTTGTA